GAATAGTTCATCACTCGCTCCGCTATCCTTATACGCACCATTCTCTACTCAACTTTAAGAACCCATCTGACCTCTTTCGAATAGTTCACAAGCTCACATAAATTTCGACAACGTTATTGGACTCGATCGTTTCTTGGATATCCCACAATCCTAAAAGCCAGACCGAATTCATCACACATAGCCATATCGACGTTAGAATCCAATGGCTATATTGACCAACTGATCACACAGAACGTTGATGGATTGCACCAATTGGCCGGGTCCTCAAATCTACTCGAGTTACATGGTACCCTGCACGAGATCCAATGTTTAAGTTGTGGTCATACTAAACTTAGATCCGAGTTTCAGAGAATATTGAGCGAATTGAATCCCGAGTGGAAGAAATTTCTGGATAAGATTGAGTTGGAAAATGACATCGAGTCAAAGGTAAATTCCGATGGGGATTATGAATTAGATGGATCATCCAAGGCGAGATCGGACGTGGTGAACTTATCGCCCCGAGTGAATCCCGACGGGGACATTGATCTACCCGTTAATCATTCATACTCTACATTCCAATATCCCTCATGCTCTCAATGCATCAGTGGAATTTACAAGCCATCGGTAGTGTTCTTCGGTGAAAATATCGAACCAACGGTTAAACACCAATCATTCGAGATGGTGGCAAATTGTGAATCCCTAATAATTGTTGGGTCAACTCTTACCACCCACTCAGCATATCGATTGGTCAAATCGGCCAAGGAGTTGCGTAAGAAGGTGGTGATACTGAACCTTGGTGACACAAGAGGTGATTCTCTGGCAGATGTGAAGATGGACTTGAGGTGTGGCGACGTATTAACAGGTGTTGTTAAAAGATTGACCGACAATATTAACAATGATGGGTGTTAATGTGAATTGTGAATTGCCACCACCATTTGTGATAAAAAATGCTTTTGTAAAATAATGTAATAGTGTAAAATATTAATTTTATTTTGCAGGTCGTTACATCTCGGATATGTACATTACAATAAATAAATAAAACACCACCTATATATTACTAGACATCTAGGGGAAATTACAGTATATTAATTTTGTTTTTTTTTGTTTTTTTTTTTTTTTTATTTATTTACATTTTTATTGCTTTGATTCTAGACAAGGAAAAAAAAAAAAAAAAAGAAAACAATTTAAAACCAACTGTTCTCCGTCAGAGTATTATATATCTATATACAAGGGGGAATACGAAGAATGTAGGTAATAAGTGTACGGAGTAGACTAAAGTAACACGAGGTAATCCCCTCACCCAGACAAAGACTTAAGCGTAAATTCAGAGAAAATAAAATTGGAATGATAGATAATAAAGATAATCGTACTAAAAAATGATTCGATGAAAAAAGTTCGGTATGAACGGAAGAAAATTTGTATGTTCGTCTTTAGAATAATCAATGAAAAGGGAGAAAACATAAGAATGTGTTTTAAAATAGATGATGTATGAAATAAAGACAACGAATCGTAAACAAAAGATATTGATTGGAAAACGGTGAGGAAGAGAAGGTGCATAGTATTTTAAAGATTTTTTGAAATAAAAGTAAAGCGTAGATTGAAAAAAAGAAATATTTTGCAATAATAATAATTGGCGTTTGAAAGGTCGAATGATAGATCATATGTTAATTGTCCTTAAAAATGTCAATGTTGGTAACGTGGTGTAAGAAATGCGTATATGTATATGTTTTTGAGGGAGATGTGCGTAATTATTCCCTTTGATACGGGGTTCGTAAAATCTTGATGTATATATTTTGTACATATGTTTAGGTTTTTTTGGATTCTATTTGATTCTAATTGTAGGGAGTTTTTGTTTTTTTTTTAAGGATAAATGCGTCTATTTGCATATAATTAATGCATATTATGCACGTGATTGGAACAATGCGAATATGCTTTTTTTTTTTTGAGACAAAAATCTATCTCATGGAAATGTAATAGTTCTCGTAAAAAAAAAAAATGTTCAAAATGAAATTAATTCATCGCTAGCACCAATCCAGCGCGACTGCATGGTATAGGCGCCATTGACATTCGACGTCTCATGGGTTGTTGTTGTTGTTGTTGTGATGGTGGTGGTGGTGGTGGGATATATGGTTCCTCTTCGTCTTCTCTATCATCTTCATCATTATCGTCGTCGTCATCGTCATCGTCTGCGTCCGCGCCATCATCTGATTCTGGTTTGGCAAAAAAAAAAAAAAGTAATGAGCAAAGTTGTAAAATCGCAAAACTCGTTTTTAACATCATCTTTCATCTTAAAAATATATGCTCACCATCTGATTCAGGAGGAGGAGGACAATTTGTATCATACTCTGGTGACAGTTAAGAAAAGATAGGCGTAAGTCTATCATCACGAAAATCCTTTTTAATGCTTGGTACGACTTATCCATGGAAAATATATTTACCTTCATAGGTAATCTCATCTTCTGCTTGCAAGATTTCACCCACTATCAACAACGATAGATAACAATTTTTTAATGTGGATGTCATTTGACATAAATGGGTGATCAACTAATTACTTACCATTGGAATACAGAGCGCTCGTGACCGGTTCAACTTTAGCCGAATTTCGCGGTTCAGGTAAATTCGGAAACAATAAGAATTTGCTAGTGTAGAAAGCGAAGGGATGTATATCCAGAGGGACCTTGCGACTTTGATCAATTACTTCGCTCGCTAATGTTCGATCGAAGGATTCGAGTTCGTCGATGTTATTGCTGCTGCACTCATCAATACCAAGGAGTTGACACTGGTACGCATAAGGTGACAACAGTATGTCCACTATCTCCTCAGCATCAGGTCTCTTCGATGGATCGGCATCCCAACACTGTGTCATCAACTTTTCATAGAACAAGGGGGTTCCCGGAACGATGCTCTCTCTAAACCCGTGACAGATTTCTAGCGCCAAGGAATGATCGTGCGGTCGGTCCGAGAACGGCGGTCGTCCCGAAGACAACTCCCACATGATAAACGCGAAACTATAGATATCAGACTTTACACTAAATGGACCGCCGGCCAACACTTCGGGTGCCATGAACGGTAGTGAACCATAGATGCCTCGTGGTTCAGTCGAATTGCTTGGTCCACAAAGTCCTAAATCCGCTATGTTACAGTTAAAGAATTTCATCACATTACCACAGTGAAGATTCTTGTGATATGTTTTATTCTTGTGAATATTAAGGAGTCCCATAGCGACATC